TATATTACGTGGTAAAGTTGCGAATTCTCCCATTTAAACAATGTAAATTTATACTTTTTGTCATAGTTCGTTTGAGCGTTCTACCCGGCCGATTTCCGTGATTTTTGCGTAAATAGACAGGTAATAGGCCCTAGATGAGCCCGCTGTAATCAGATTTTGGAAAAAGGACCCAGGTTTTTTTTAAAATCATGTTATAAAAGTGAGTGAGTTTACAGAATGCTCCGGTACTGCTACCGCTATGCGCGGGAGGATGCGCAGTAGTCGAGGAGGTTGCGCAGTAGCTGTGTAGCCTGTGCATCAGCTTTACACTTATCTATACAAGATTCGCACCAGCGACATATCGTCGAATGGTAGCCGAGTCGTCTAAGACGTCGGAGGTGTCCTCTTTAAACTCGGTGTGGGTTCGATCCCCGACTCAAGCGTTCTTAATTATTACCTGACTATCATTGTTTATTGTTTTACTGCAATATTTCATCAAGCAGTCATTCCAAAACGCGTCCTTTTAATTTTAAAGTAATTTTAAGTAAAGTTTAAAATTAAAGTATATCTCATATCGTAATTTTTTAGGGGGAAAATAAAACTAAAACTGATAGGAGGGTAAAAATAGGGCCGCGAAGAGGCCAGGGGGCGTAGCCCCCTAGTTACCTCATACCAGTGCTAGTCTCCTCATTTTAAAAGACTCATTATTATCCCAGATTATCAAAATTCAAGTGAGAGCCTTTTTTCGTTTTCTTTGTGCTTTTACACAAAAAGATGGGCAATTTTGTAAGGGACATTCAATTACTGATCTGATAAGAATTAGTTCTTCCGACTCTCTTCTCTTTCGAACTGCGTGTCACAAAATTATGTGCCTCTGTACTATTCTGCCAAAAGAGTAAGGCATTTTAAGAGGAGCCCTCCAGCAATAGAACTCATGTTGCTTTTTTGAGAGTAAGAGGAGATCTTACCTGCATGCTCAATGGCATCTTTTTGTCAGATCGGCCTCCAAGTTGCGTTAAATTTCGCTTTGTGTCAGCTTTCATTTCTGAGGAGGCAAGTCGATCCTTGGTGATTGGGCCTGGCAAGTGCCATGATTGGCCGTAATGTTTTTCTTCCCGCTGAAACTCTCGATCTCTCATCGGGTATGACACCTTACGTTCCCTTTGATGATCTTCTTGATCAAAACCCATCTCTGAATAGTCACGATCACGGTTCAGAACAGGTTCAAAGCTCAATCTGCAATAAAACACATTCAAAATTTTAGTTACTTCATGACAGAGATAGATTAAGTCAATTCCTGTGAAAACAACCTCTAAGGCACCTTGTGCTAATGTAGAAAAGGCAGAAGGTGGTGACACTTGTGAGGAAAATATGGGATAGCAGGTTACCACCTTCCGCTGGCCATTGTTAAGGAGTTACAACTATGCCAGCCATACACTTTCATCACTCATGTGTCATACATAACTTTTGAAAACTTACATTGTCTACTTAAACAAATCTCCTGGAACCTTTTCTCCCTTATAGAGACTTTTGAATCAACCATATGACTTATTTCTCGGACAACTTATGGAGCTAGCTATTTGTGCACAACCATGTTTCAAGAATCAAGCCTTACATTTCTTTCTTTTAATCCTGAAATATCATCATTTTAACAACCAAGGGTTTTTCTCAGTTGATGAGCACAGGAGGCCAGCTGGAAACTTTTAGAAGATGATATTTTCATCTCTTGGCATTAAAAATTTTTGCTGTGTTCCAGGCAAAAGAACCTGTTTGGCTGCAATTCATGGTTATAGGTCCGTATCTCCCTGACCCCTAACACATGTGATTTAATACAAGTGACAGTACCGCATCCAAATCCCAACATCACAAACGGGAGATAGGATCTGGAAAAATCCTGCAGTTTTACACAAAACAAGGCCTTTCCTTCTGTTGCTAGACAACAAGCTTAACGTTAAATTGAATTAAGGAATGTTGCAACATAAAGTTGAAAGAAAAATACAAGAGGAATTTTGACAGGACCAATGATAATCTTCAATATATCAAGGTTATCCTGCAGTTAATTGAATCGGGATGTGCGAAAACCGCTAAGGTCCATTATTCCAGTCTCCAGTTTCTTGGAGTTGACAACCCTTTTAAAGAGTTGATACAACCATAAAAGTGATGAAAGGACTCGTTTTGGGATTGAGGTAACTCGGGGACAAGTATTGACGTCACTTTCATGGTTGCGTCCAAGTCCGAAAAGTATATCAACCCCCAAAAAACTGCAAACTGGAAAATTGGACATTAGCGATTTTCTCACGTCCCCATTCAATTAAGAACTCTATCTAATAGGATTTACAGAGAAGGTCTGAAACTTTCAATGGAAATTCTGTGATTTTTAAATAATTCCTTCATTTCCTCTCCAAGCTTCTCAGCCCTCACCTACAACACTGTAATACTTGTTATTTGGTGAATCTGGTTTAAGGTTATGAAGTCACAAGTTAGTATTGAGATCTACCTTTGTCAGCCTCTATGCTAGTTGCATTTTCCCAGAAGTATTTTGTTTTAAGATCATAATAGAATAAAATAATGGCAATTTTTAGTGAAAGAGGATGACTCAAATGAAATGGTTTAAGTGGGAGCTTTAATTGAGCTCTCACAGGACGAATTAATTTTCAGATTAACTGCTAATTGAAAACCAAAATCATATCCTGAAACATGACTTCAGTCTTTATAAGCGAGTATTGCCAATGTCCAAGTTGTTGCTTTGGGCTGTAGCAAAATAGATGATCTTTTAGCGCCATTTAAAGCTTTGATTACTCACAGGTGAAAAACCTTGGGAATTTTTGGACACAAAATTATAATTCGGGAACTTACTTTTCATCGTGGGAGCCCCTCGAGTCGCGAGACATTCGACTGTCCCTTGAGTCGGGTCTAGAAGGAGGCGGACATTCTTCTCTTTTATCATCAATGTCTCTTTCTTTTTCCTTTTCTCGTTCCCGCTCTCTCTCACGGTAGCGTTCACGCTCTCTTTCACGTTCCCGCTCTCTTTCACGTTCTCGCTCTCTTTCTCTTTCTCGCTCATTCTCACGCTCTCGATCACGATCTCTCTCGCCCCTTTCGTTCCACTTTTCGTCACGATCAGGGCTATGGCTCCTTTCTCTCCAATCACAGTTACTGCTCCGACTGTTTTCTCTGTCGTCATACCGATCCTGGAACATAAAATCCTTCTAAGCTGTAGACACTGGTTTAGAAATTGATCCCCCTAGTCTGAATTGGCTCAGGCAATTGTGAGCCTTACAACCACTCAGGAGAGAGGGGGTTGAGATGCCCCCCCCCCCATCTCATTTTCTCCTGAAGAGTGCCTTCCCCTAGTCCCCCTGCTTAATGAAGTTCAATCTGTGCCACCTCCCTTTTGGTCAATGGTCTGTTCCCATTTGCCAGTTTCTCTGATAATTTCTGACCATTACATACTTTCCTTTCACGATTCCATCTGACAATTGAAGTATAGGATGAATAATCTTTCAATAATTATTAAATTATGTTCAAACTGAGTTGCAAATTTGTGCAGGCAGTATCAAAAAATTAAATCTAGCAAATGATTTCTGATAATGTTTTAATTTAGTCTTTACCTTATTTTATCTTATAATATAGATGAAATAGTGAAAAAAGAAGAAAAAGGAGACTTCGAAAATATTGGGAGGATAAGATTTTGAAGAGATATACGGCATCTTATTTTATGCAGGCAGTTTCACAGCAATTTGTCGGTAAGATACTTGTGGTTTGGCGAATAATGTTTGACAGAAATATCTAAAACCCTGCATATGTTTTTTCAAGAAGTAGGTTGAAAGTTTCATAGATTGGTGTTTTGAACTTTGGAATGCATTTCTCATTTACCCTTCTATCAAAAAATTATTTATGAGTTGGTAAACTTTCAAGAACCACTTAAAAAATCAAAAACCTCATAAATTTAATTAGTGAAACACAGCATGAAAAAAATTCAGCTAAGACCATTTCAATGTGTATAAAATAATAGATATTGTAATTACACTTATTTAATTGGTGGAATTTCTTCCAACACAAAAGGTGTGAGAAGAAACTAAAGAGAAAAAAAAGGAGAGTGAATGCAAGAAGAGGAATCGCAAGAAGATTAGGAATTATTAATAATGACAAAGGAATGAAAAAAATAAGAACTCACGTATTGCCTGGGGTACTCTTTGCGGTCATCAGCGTACTTATTAAGAGAGTCAAATTCTCTGGAAACATCACGATCACGCTCTAGGGGACGGTCATAGGAGTCATAATCAACATCACGATTCCTGGAAATAAATTTGAAAGCATTATTACAGAGATGATTTTTCTTGCGGAGAGGGAGGATGTTGTTTTTATGGCTGCATTTTTAGATAATGCATCTTTTGTAACTCTGTGTTCAACTCCTATTCCATATTATTGGGGAATAATAAGCTGAGCAACAAAACTTACTCGAACTGTAAATAATATTCTCCGTTGACTTTGTGACTTCTTCACTACATTAAAAACTAGTTTTCAAGTTCTTGTTGTTCTTGGACAAGCCAGGAAAATTCAATGATAAGGGTACAAAATGCCATTGGTTACAATGGACAATGGAACATTTTGAAAAATGTCCAAGAGGATACTCCTACTAAGCTTTTGTACATGCATATGAAAAAACCAGGCATTACAAAAAATTTTCTGATTATCAACACATTTTCTCCACAAATCAAATTTAATGGAAGCAAATGCCCTGCGGTTTGTTGTCACTGCTTCAGAGTAGGTGCTTGAACCCTTTATGAGTTTGTTATCCTTCATAATGTACTCTAGTGCCTTTAATATACACATGTATAGTGTTCCAATTCCTTATTAATCAAGTATTTATAAGTGTAAAAATTGGTTGGGAAGAAAAAAGCTTTCTTGTGCATTTTAAGTATACGTCTAAACTATGAACACCAGTTCTGTTGGGGCAACATAATAAGGTGAAATAGTGTGGTAATATCTGATAAGGAAATTCAAATGAGAGATCTCTGATACCAACAAAAATGGAGAAAAATAATAGATATTTAGGAAATCCACAATGAACTAAAACTTACATTTTATGATCGTAGTCGTAGTCATGGTCGCGACCGTCACGGCTATCGCGGCTCTCACGGCTGTCTCGACTCTCCCGCAAGTCCCTATCGCGAATGTCACGGAGATCTCTGTCCCGCAAATCTCTCAGATCACGGTTGTCACGTGGATCTCTGTCTCTGTCGCGCAAATCACGACTATCGCGAATGTCGCGACCGATGTCACGACTAAAGCCTCCTCTGAAATCATCCACAAACCTGCCATCCCGCGAAGGACCGTTGCGAAATCTGCTCTCACGATCTTTCAGATCTCGGCGGTCATCATCACGCGAACGGTCTGATAGATCACTGTCATTTCTATGCCTACGGTTCAGGCTCATGTTGATGCTACCTGGTTTGTCTGAAACAAGACAGATAATATTCTATTTACAGCTGCTCTTGGGCATATCAAAAAATAATGTAAGAAGCTTAAAAAGGTACCAATATTTTCAAACTCCATCTAAACTGGGACCATCCGCAGGAAAATGGACCTTATAATTGGATTACATTTGGAAAAAAGAAACATAGAGTACCCGCATGTTGCTAGGAATGTGCTCAGCTTTACACAGCTGCTCGGGCGTGTGAAAATGTGGAAAAATTTATAAGGGTCAGAAGTCAATAATCAAACGAACGAAGAGAAAAAAGGTCCTCTCTTTTGAAATTGGTGGGGAATTTTGTGGAAAACCAATGAGAAATTGTGGAAAGCCAACAGGCGGAGACGTGAAAACAAGGAAGCTTGGAAAATTTGGCACTCCTGCATTTGTGACATGATTGTAAACAGGTTTAAAGTTCATTTCTATCAAGGGCTGACCAGTAATTTTTTAACTTTCGACATGTTTTCCGCAAACAAATAATTTGTGGCACTTAACTCTTAACCAGGCCCATTGTTCCTTTCAAACATGTAAAATTCTGCAGGAAAGAACCGTCACCTACTTTGGAAATTATGTTGAGGAGGTTGCCAGCGCTGCTCGGATCTTTGATAGTACGAATTGCTGCTTGGTTTTTGAGAAACGCTGCTGCCTTGTTTCTGTTGGAAGCGTGGAGGGAGCTCATTATTCCTTGTGAAGTTGCGAGCATGAGATTGACCATCAGGCCCACGATCATTGCGAAGATCACGATCCTTATGGATGAAACTGGCCTTGTCACCCAGCTGAGTCAGTTGCCTAAAATCATTGCCATCCTTGACGACTGGTTGATTTCCAACCGTTACAGTTTGATTAGTCGACATCTTTCCGGAGGTAGCAACTGCGTCATCTTTGTGGTCGATAACCTGGCGTGAGCTGGACATGCTGTTAACATCGTTGGGGACATTCTCCTTTCCCTCATTGGACTAAAATAAGAGAAAACAGGATGACTGAATTGAATACGAATGAATACAGCTCTTTCACAGGGAGCAGACGAATACAGAAAAAGCTTCTGTGGATAGAGGAATAAATTACACTTACAGTGAAGCTTAAATGAATCTTCTTTCTCCAGTAATTTTGTAATTTGGCAGTAAAAAGACTACCACAGCCGAAACGGATGCAGAGAAATCTTGGCACTCTCAATTTAAAAACTCCTATAACTGCAGCAATGTTTGGGAGATTCAGCTCTAAATGTAATATATTTGCCGCAATTTCACATGAAAACTCATGATTTAAACTGGAGGGGTGGTGCACACAAAAAAACATAGGATGGTAGGACCCAGCTTATATTGAAGAAGAAAATGCGCCCTCCTTTCAATGGCACGTGATAGATGTTGTTCATTTTTGGCAGGAAAGCTCATGCGTAAAAAATAAGTACCCTGCACTTGAGCACATATCAGTTTTGAAAAAAGTTGCATTTCACACTAACTTGTCAGATATAACTACTAGGCTTCTGAAATGTACTTAGTATTAAAAAAAATTGGACTATTTAAGGGCCGCTCATGAATGATGCAAACATGGAAGACTCACACAGGCTGTCTAGCAATTTTCAACAATAAAATTCCCTGACAAAAATAGCCAAAAATCGGAAAAACATTCAAAATTTCCTGACAAAAGGGTAAAATATTCCAAATTTTTCAACTATGTAATAAATAAAGATAAGTATATGGTGCCTAAACTTATTTAAGATATTTTTGCCTCATTTTAAAAATTTAAAGGACATCGGCAGAAATTTTGGTATCCATTATTCATCAATTTTTAACAAAAAAAATGTTTACAAAACATCCGTGTTTTTCAATTTCCTTGAAACGAAAATAGCTTGCAAAATAAAATTAGTTAGTTGAGCTCGGGAGGGATTTGCCTGCAAATAGTCAAATCTTACAGTTTTTGGTACAAGAAGAACGAAGCACACGTTAAAATTTCACGAAAAATTGTCTCTGCAGAGATATAACACTTCCTTCTTAGGGGTCCTCGGAAACATGTTTGAACCGACCGCCGTGAATCTTTGTATCATAGATAGAAGATGGTGGCAGCAAAGACAACCTGCTTACTACCACCACGCTGTCATCGTTGACAACTCGATTTACCATTTGAGGTTAAGTGAGCTCTGTGCTCCGTTATTGTATTGTGATAACGTGAGTTGAAATTACTTTGTGCAAAGACATTAATGACTAATTAATGCTCTCGCTACGATGCATGAAAGAGTGAAATATAAGCTTAGTCGTTGTTTTGTGCCCAACTGTAAAATTAGACCATCAGCTGCTGAGACAACGCCGCCGCCGAGTATTCTTCCACTACACGTTCTGCCGCAATATTGATTGTGACATGTACATTCAAAACCTATGCGGGTGCGGTTCAAACGCTATTTAAGGCCACCCTAAATTTTGGCACTTTCAAATAAACTTTTTCCCCGTTTGCTGTCATCAAAAAAATTAGGAAAAAAACTGTAAGCTTCCGTCACTTACTACTTTTGAATGACAATAAAAAAAAATGACTTAATTGACTCATTCCCTGGCATGCCAAATTTTAGCGGATTCCTTGACATTTCCTTCAATTTCCCTGACACAAAAAAATATTCCCTGACTTTTCCCGTCGCTAGACACCCTGCCACATGAAGAGGCAGAACAAACTTAACATCCTAGTTTACTTACACTGAGGCTAGATTTATCTGAAAGTTTAGAGCGCCTCCTCTCTTCATATGCGCGTTCCTCTTCTTCCTTACGTTTATTAGCTCTTTCAACAATGCTGTCTATTTCATTATGTTGTCTGCGGCGATAACTATCATCTTCATTATTTTCGCGCCCAACCTGAAAAGGAATATTACAATTTAATTATTTTTCAAACACCTTCAACCGATTATAAATAGGGTTAGCAGCCACATTACTTTTTTCATTCCTTGACTTTCTATTAACCAATGGATAGTTTTCCTTGAACTTCATATGCTGAACTTAACCATCCTGAGGGCCCAAAAAAAAGGCTATTTACTTTGCGGCTTGATCAACAAGCATATTTTCTACATGATTGCAAGCAAAACCTGACTTCGCTGTTCATCAGGTATTTGCCACGAAAAATGTTGCAATATGGGTGTAAACTTGAGATTTTAGAATCAATTTTATTTAATTATAAATTAGATTTGGAGCATTCCTCTTTCAAGTATATGTAACAAAAAATTCGCTAAACTTAATCACAAACAAATCCTGTATCATCACAAAATTCACTAACACTCCCCGGTTAACATGTATTCTAGACTTAGTCAAATCGCTTAATTGCTACCTATGATATTCAACACGAAAACCAACACTTTCCGGAGCTAACAAGAAATCAAGCGGAGAATAAGATCCAAATAACAGCATACTAAAATCATTCTGAACCTTTTATCCCAAACTTTCAAAGAATAAAAATTTTGTTTTTTCTTTATTGAGTATTAATGAACAGAACAAGTAAAGACAGCCTAGCTTAGTCACGTACAAAGATGTTCATACTCATCAGCACTGTTCCAGGGCAACTGTGAATAGCCAAGGTAACTCAACACAGTTGTTGGGCTATTGTTTTGGTTGTGTTAATCTGCTTGATCAATAGATGGCTCTATGGATATTGTTCTAGATCACTTATACAGTGAAACCTCGCTAAGTCGGTTTCCGGATAAGCCAGTAACCCGCTTTAGTCGGTAGAATCGCCCGGTCCCGTTTATCACCCATATAACACAATGCTAAATAAGTCTCGGTATCTCGGTTTGGTCAGATTCTGAACCCGCTTAACTCGGTGAAATTTTTCCATCTCGACCCGTTTTTCTTCGATCGTCACCCGAGATCAAGCGTAGGTAGTGTTTCCGTGCGCGGTGCGGGTCGGGTCAAGTTACGCCACGAAGGGTGAGCGAAGCTCCGAGAGAGCGCAGCGCAGTGCGAGAGACGACATCAGCTCCCCCTCTCCTCCTCCCTCCCATCCCCACTCAGCCCGCTCGTATCGGCACGAGCCCCTCTCCTCCTCCCTCCGATCCCCACTCAGCCCGCTCGTATCGGCACGAGCCCCTCTCCCCCTACCATCTTGCATTGCCGTTCCCCGCTCCCCCGAGGAATCTTCCTCAGAGTTTTTCGAGGATTTTAGCGAGTATTGTTACGTTGCATTTTCAGTGCAACGACCCGCCACTCAGCGGGCGGCCGCGGCGCATCACCGCGCGGCACCCCAACAAACGATTAACCCGATGACTTCATGATGCCCTGACACTTACAACACGCAATTCAAGTGCATCTCATGAAATTTTACTCTTTAGTACCATTTTCTTGGATCAAATGGCTCTCCTAAACACTCCTACAAGTCACTCTACACGCACGTTTGCGTTTGTCCAATTTAGGGCGCGAAATTTGAAAAAGCGCGGCAGGAAAAGTGGCAGTCCGCGTAAGTCGGTAACCCGCTTAACTCGGTAAATTTCCTCGGTCCCGATGAAAACCGACTTAGCGAGGTTTCACTGTATGTATTCTGTTGCCCCCCTCATTGCCCGTACTGTTGGGGATGGCAGGCAAAAAAAGCCAGTAAGCAAATAGGTTAATTCTAAAGAATGATATCGTTATAAACTCTGTGTTACTGGGTTCTGTAACAAGAAACGTACTTCAGTTGCAGCAATCTAAGAGATTTCTTAAGCCATATTACTAGCCTCTTGATTGCTCCTATCCCATATGAGACGATTCTGGCATCAAGAGAACCTGTTCAAACTTTAAGAAATAAAATCCATACCTGAGACTGAGGTTTTGGCTGCAAAGAAATTCTGCTGAATTCAGTCGAAGAACGGTTTTGCCAGGCATTACGGTTATGAGAGTCGGACTGTAAATTAGACTGCGAATTCGATAAACTAGAACTTTTAGTGATCAACTTTGGTTCCTCTTCTTCATCGCTAAAAGCCAATTTTTGCCTAGAAAAGGATAAGAGATAATGACAGTTAGCAACCTACTACATAAAGGAGTTTACAGAGGAGAGGAGCTTAATTTTTCTCAGAGAATGATCCTTCATTTTGTCGCATTCAAGTTGGGTCACCCAATGATAATGATAGGCATAGAAATGAAGCAGGGATTACTCTTCATGAAGGAAATGAAAAATGGTGAGACAGGAACATTCATTGATAGGCCATGGACCACTAGACAAGGTACAAAATTAAGCATTCTGATACATGTTTCTTAACCAAACTTTGACGTAGAACACAATACATGCAACAAAAATTATTGACATTAACTCCTGACAAAGGTATTTAATATTTCTTGACACTTGAATTCAAACCTCTCGCTCATGAAAACACAATGGTCTACGTTCGTCAGATCACAAACTTAACTTTACCATGGCAAACTCTGCGATATGAAAATCTGGCAACCTCAATCTTGACGTTTTCGCTTAACTGTAGTAAAAGGAAACTGGAGGAACAATGCTTGACTGAAAAGCTTGGCAAAACTGTTGTGAGGCGCGATTTGACTCATGTAGAGAATTGCGTTTCATGTGACCAGGCAAATTAAAAGTCCCGTAACCAATGTAAGATTAAAACGTTCATATCTTTAGTTGGGAGTTGATTTAAGTAATTTATGATGCAAGAATCGTGTTCTACGTGACATTTAAGTAAGAGACATGTGTGAGAATGCTCAAATTTGTACCTTGTCTCTTGGTCCATTGCTGACAGACTATCACTGTCCACAAAGTTTCCAGTAGAACTTATGCCAGTGAAACAAATGTATTTAGAGGTGCAAATGCACAAACCAGACCTAACTTAAGTTTTCATTAATAATTAATTTTATGCACGAGGAAGAAATAAAAGAGCTTCTTAATTCAAGCATTAAGATGTTTTAATGAGTGTTAGTAATGAAAAGCAGCTAAAGTAAAACCAAGAGAAATGAATGACGTAATCTAAGATTTAGGTGGTTGAGACACTTAGTCCAAATTTTAGTCAGAGGCCAAACATGTATCATTACAGATTTTTTGAGTTTTTAAAATGCAAAACGCATTCATAACAGCAAAAAATTTATCAAATGACACGCATGAAGAGAATCATCATTTCAAAATTAGGACTGAAGTGGAGCAACACACTTGATATATTGCCTGGCGCAGTATATGTGAAGCAAAACTGCAGGCACTCTATTTAAGGCTGATTTCATTCTCCCCTTTCTGAATATGGATGCCTAATTAAAAAAGAAAAAAATTACAATACAATTATGGATCAGTCCAGGCTCTCAAAGGGAGGGCATACTATCGAAGATGCTTTCAAGTTGTGTAGTGGGTCAGTTACACCAATTTTTTTTATTTTTCTTTCAATTAATTTATTCAAGGTACAGGGTGAATGAGGCTTCTAAGAAATTTTTCAGATAATTTTTAGCCCTTAATAGCAGAGAAATCTGCTTCAAAATAGCAAAAAGGGAGACCCATGAAACAATATTTTTGTCAGGCGCTGATGATGTTAACCGGACTGTCAGATTTTGAATAGCTTCTTCTTCCCTTGAAAATGTTCTGCTGAACTTTTAAATTAGTTTTATTGTTTTTATCGGCACACTATGTGAAAGACTAACTAGACAACAACCCTGCAAAAATTCCTGGCCACTGCCTCACTAAATTATTTTGTAGTACATTCTCTAGGGTATATTTAACAAACAACTTTGAGTAATTCTGACACTGTGTAATGACTCTCAACTGAATAAGAGAAACTTAGACCTATATGGCTAAAAATTGAAAGATTTTTATCAGAATATGTATTTGTATCATGTTCAACTTCCTCAGTCTTTGAAATGCAGAACGCATTTCCAACTGCAAAAAGTCAATCAAATGACACGCATGATCAATGAATCATCATATAAACATTCAAAAACAGAAGCTGATCCAATTTGCAGAAAATTTTTTGGTTTGATGATTATTGGTGTAGCAGCAGAAGTGAATCTGAGAAATATACATTCATCCTCCAGTTAAGAATATATAATATTTTTTCTTGACTACGTAAGGTACCGTGGCGGATTGATCTGTCACTTGAGAAAGTCACCTGGAAAAGGAGAGCAAGGAAGGTATACATGGGAATTACTTGAGGGTCTGAGATAAGTTACTCACTCGTAATCAAGTTCATCTTGAGTCACCCAACTGGCATCGCGGCCGATGTCATCCATGCGATGTAAGTCCTCTTCTCTGATGACTGGCCTTGGAGCAATGACTGGCTCATCCCTGTCACGGGTAGGTTCTCTGGCAGAGTTCGACCGCTCTTCAGTTGATCGATGAGAATCGCGGGTGGGATAGTGCAAAGAGGGATAAGATGTAGGGAATGGCGCCGAAAAGTTGCTGTTCTTATCATTTTTAAAACACTGCACCGGGAAAAAAAATTAGTTTAGAGGAGAAACCATTAAACCCACCTCATTGTCTTAGAAAGCAAAGAGCACATGAGGATGTAACAAGGTTGAAGTTGATGCATTACTACAGAGCCAACTGACCCATAATATCTTTGAGTTTAAGTAGCCCAAGGTGTCCAGAATACTTGGCCATGCTTATTTTCTGATTTCAAAAAGCTTATTCCTTGATGAGAAACCTAAGTTTCATCTCACTTTCCAAGGATTATCTTGAGAAAAACAACATAATCATCGTTGAGTTCAACACTCATCCAGAGTTCTAAATATAGGTATCAGATTCAAGTAAGTCATTCTAAGGTCAATAATGGCAGTCACAGTTACGGCTCAAGCAATCAAGGGGAAAGCTTGCCATTCACTTGGGTCAACAAGTTGGTAACAAAGCATGCACGATAATCGCCGGATAAAGCAGAAGAGCGCCAAGTCAGAGAGGATTGCCTTTGAAAACAAAATGGTTTCCAAACAGTGAAAAGAGAGATGACAGGTTTTTAGAGCAGATTCCTTTATTTTCTGATTTCCCCTAAAACTTTTCATTCCCTGATTACTCCCAATTTTCTAAGTCCTGGACACCATGATGTAACCAACTGGCAAAAATATGCAGTTCTGTGCTAGTTTCCTACTAATGTACTGCTGGGCAACATCATGTTTATAAAAGGCAACAAGTGCCTAAATCAAAAAATTCATACATTAGATTTTAATGCTATAAGTCTCCGCTCATGTTTTATGAAGGTTGAGCGCAAACTACCCAGAAGTTTCTATCGAACTTGTCAGTGAATTTTTTTCACCTCACCTTTAAGTAATGACATTATACCTGAGCTGTAGTTAAAGCTGAAACCTTAAAGTTAAAGAAATAGACGTATTTTCTCACCAAAGTCGTCTTGTCAAACACACGCCAAAAAAAAAAAAAAAAAAATTCGGCAGAAAAATTATGTGGAATTGCGTAAGAGTGATGCGATTAACTTTCCTTGAAGAAAATAAAACAATCAAAGATTTTTAACCATTGCAATTGAAAAAGGCATTTTTCACATTTAGCTTGTGATCTATTACGTTTAAATTGAAAAAATGAAAATAAATTTCGCTTTGATCATTGACCTTCTTTCAGACTAACTCCATTTTTTCCAGTTCATACCTATCAACCATTTAAAGCGAGAACAATTAGTTTCTGAAAAAGTGTAGGGATGGCATAACTAGCAGATGGAAGGACAAAGGAACTTACAAACGATGGGTACATGGCCTTGAAGGGTTCTGGCCCGGCCAATGTTGGAGCAACGCTTGAAGCTTGGCCTACCTGGGCCCCTGTTCCCCCAGTAGGGCCCGAGCTGTTCCTCATGCCATGCATATCGGAGAGTGATTGGTGGGGGCCCTGGGCAGGAGCATGGGTATTCTGGCTGCCACCCGCTCCCGTTAGTCTGCCCCCAGCACCACCTTGGCTCCAGCTCCCCTCCGTTTGAGGGCGTAAAACTGGTCTTGTACCGTATTGTGTCTCCGCTGCAGAGTTCGCTTTGGTGGAGAGGGCAGATGTGTCGCCACCTGTTGTTAACTTTGGGAATTCCTGCTGAAAATTTGGGTTTTGAGTGAGATAATTTGGTTCTTTCCCCCCGATTGGACTCCATTTCTTTTCTCCAAGGACACCAACCTGCAAAACCAAAAAGAAAACAAAAACGTGAGAGGAACTCTGAAAAGGGGGCTTACTAGCATTCTTTTGGAATTACAGCTAGTACAAAAGAATTGAATGCATCAGAGTCACTATGTACCCGTGTGCCAATGAAGTCAGTTTTTGAGGCTGTTTTATCTATACTCCTGCACCCAATATTATAGCTTCAACGGCAAGAGTTTACGCAATGTACAATAATACTCTTTTCTCCAAAATTCAAACAACTCAGTATGTTCTGATATGATTCAAGAACAAATTTTGTAGCAACCAACACTAAATAAAGTAGTGTCATAATGTTAGGTGCAATGTGTTGGTATTCTACCAGCAACATTTGAAAAAGGGCATAACTTCTTTTTTTCCCTACATTAGCATCTACATTGAGATACCTCAAAAATTTTTTGTGAGCCTTCTCAGCGATTGTATGGAACATCTAAAATAATTTTACTACATCGCAGCAGTGCCAGGGTAAGAACTTCACTGTGGTTTGTCCCTCCTGAAAAACAGGAATTAGAGACAAGTGCACTTTTGCCGGATAGCCCTGCGAGTACAAATTATCGACATTGAGAATCATATTATACCATCTCTAACCTATTCTTTGCAAAACACAGATTGAGAGGGGCACTTTCGTTGACTGTCCAGACCAAAGCGGTCAGCAAGATTGATCTTATTTGAGGTGTGTGTTCATTGCCCACCATAGCAAACAGAATGCTAACTGTGGATTAACCTTGGAATAAAAAGAGGAATAATTCTGTACTACTTTCAGGTGCTATGAATAAATATTTTTACTTGCAATAGTTAAAAGTATGAAATGTTATAATTTTGCTGCAATGGTGAGATTCTCAAAATAGAAATCTCAAAATGAATTACCTGGCGTGGCTGTGTCGAAGTCAAAGTGGGAGGAGCTGTGGCAGTTTGAGTAACGGTAGAAGGTACGTTTGTTGTTGATGTAGTAACAGATTGTTGCAGTTGTTGTTGTGGCAGTTGCTGTTGCTGTAACTGCACTTGAGAGCTCGGCAAGTTCTCGCCTGTTTTCCCAGAGACCCATCCTGACCCACTTCGATTGATTAGATTGAGAGAATTATTGCTGGCTGTTGGATCGGATTTCTCGCTTGGTAAATTCACAGGTCGGCGCTTTTGAGGCAGGCGGCCCAATACTTGCATGCCATTTCGATGGTTGAGTACGTTCTTTGTCTGCGACTGTTCGATGTTATCACCTTTTGCTGGAAGATGCAATCTATTTATATTTAATGTTTGAAATTTCTTGCCTCCTTTCTCCCCCTTGGCCGAGATTCCCGACAGTGTAGACATGCTGTCTGCAGGGCACCATTTAGATTGGACAGTACCCTTAGAACGAACCTCTATTCTGTAAATTAACAAACAAAAAAATACATACATTAGAATTTTCTACAAGTAGGCATAATTCTGCCTCGCTGAAGAAAACAGGGTTGCCACAGAATTTAGATGATGAAATTCCCTGACATTTGTCTGACACATTTGGGTGAAATATCCTGACAGTTGAAGATATGCTATTTGGTGCTAAAGACATCATTACAGACAGTTTTCAGGCAAATTTGTTGTTCGAAAAATCAAACCTCATACAGAAAGCACTTTGAAAATTCCCTGACATTTTCTGGTTTCCCTGACTGTGGCAACCCAGAGAAAAACACCGAATGACCACTCAGACATTTTCTAATTCCTTCCAATGAAGTATCAATACCTTGAGAACAAGCAATTTTTTTCTTATAAACCTGATCTCATTCAGGAGACGGTAAGGAACTTAAAATAAAAAAACTTAGCAGGGGCCTAATTTCTTGGTGTTTCGTGCGTAGTCCTTTTCGGAAAATTAAGAGTACACTGTAAATAGACTTTCATGAAAACACCTAAGAAAATAATGAGTGAATCATCCAGAAGGTTTGGTTTTTATCAGCAGAAAATTGGCAGTATCCAAATGTTCAAATAGCGTTTTCCCCAATACGGTAGCTCAGCAAACAAGGGGATCACTAGCTGATGGGCAGAACTTTCTCCAAGAGAAAGTGTTAATCTATTTGTGCTTGGTACTTGATCATGTGTTAGAACTAAAATAGCCAAAAAGGCAGAGTAAGTCAGTTTCGGTTGCACACTGAGAATGAAATTCGTAATCTAGAAGGCTAAAATGTTTTGACTTCGCTGACTTCTCATACATCAGGAGGAGGGGAAAAAAAAAAGCTCGATTGAATTGCTCCCCCCAAATTGTTTCTTTTTCCTACATTACGTTTGACATGAGACAACTGAGAGATCATTTTGACACTTAACTAAAAATTGCTATAATTCAATATTTATCCATTATTTAACTTTTAAACCTTGCTGTGTTAAAATTAGGCCTGTCCATGGGTAGAAAGTTTCCTTTACTTTCTACATCCCTCCCCTCACAGAGACATGAATTGGCATTGATTTCAAACCAATCCCATCTCATTTAGGTGTACTTGTTGCTCCACTGCTCCATATAAATTTCAAAATGTAGATATAAAACAAAGAAAAAAAATAAAAAAACCCAAGTGCATATGTATTTTGCAGAATGTACAATCTTGAAGGTTATTTCATGATTTTGGATACATGGACTGCGTTAAACGGAAAGAAACCAAGCCACATCAGCTATTGCCAAATTTAATCGGGCAATTAAATTTTTTACATGAAATTGGTTGTTCCGATTTTCGTACAAATTTCAGTGGATTTTTTCCATAGTACGAAGCAACTTCCAATTTTCAAAGGCGTCCACACAAACGTTTTCTCGAAAAACTTGAATTGCCCAATTAAATTTGACAATAGCTGATGTGGCTTGGTTTCTTTCTGTTGAACACGGTCCAAATACAATTCATTCAGATTGCAGCAAATTTCCAAAGCAAGCACAAGAAACCTTTGAAATCTCTGACATATTCAGAAAGCAAGTTATCACCCACACTAGAAGGCTTAATTTCAGACTATTAATTAGGAGCCCAGGAGGCCTTGGTACACAATTCATGTGCTTTTTTTACTCTTGAAAGCTATAATACTTCTCTTCTGTGTGGGCTTTGCCTAAGGATTACAGAGCTATGTTCAAGTCAACTCAGCAGAGCAAACCAGGAATAGAATAAACAGTAGGTAGGTAAAGCCAGGTAGTCCATACAGCAATAGAGCCTGGGGAAACTCGATATCAACTCCATCTTCTTACAGTCTTATCAGACTAATGAATGAGGAGGTTGTTACATTAAGAAGCTGGAGCAATATGATAACACCTTTCTTTCATTCATACTACGCCTTCACTTAACTTTCAGCACAACTTTCCAGATGTCATAGATGCAAAGATCAGTCAGTTACAGAACTATTCTTCACCAAAGCAGTTGATGCTTCTGACATGAAGGCACTATGTCCACTGCGCAGTACTTGACCCAATAATGTCTCAAGCGCAATATATGATGTCTCCTGATTTCAGTTTAAGTACTCTTCAAGGAAAAAAATCAGTGAAAATGATGGTGCATCATCTCAAAATTATTCAAGAGGAGCCTTGATAAGTAGAGTGTACAAAAAAGACTGATGTGAGGATGAAAAGTTCGGGAGAAAATTCTTGGACCTCTCCACTACTTAGAGGTTTCAATCTCAAAGAATTATTGGGAGTAGCGCAAACAAGAGCAGAAGTCTGCGGGTTTTACAGTTGCAGAATAAACAAGGCAAACACTCTTAATCCTTGAAGACAAAAAAAGGTCAACTGACATTTACCTGAGTAGGGAACACTTGAGCCAATTTAATGCAAATGCTGCGGAGAGAATAGGCTAACTAACAACAGCTAAATCAAATCATCAGTCCTGGTTCTTACATCAGTTACAAAAGGAGCACAATAGGACCGTTCAATGAAAGAAGTTGAAGAATTCTACACTAACTTCTAGGAAGAATAGAAACTCATAATAGTAAGAGGGAGCAATCTCAATTGCTTGGGATTTTCTCCTGACATTAGGATGCCTGTCAGTAGAAAGTCAACATTGAGCCCTTCAGAAAAGAACTGGAAACCTACAAACCCTTACGGCAGGGAAAGCTTCGTTGTCTCAAAATACAGAAGGGAGTATACTCTCCCAAAATTCAATCGTTTCGAAGGGTCTAGGATGTTCTCTTGACACCCAAAGGCCTAGGTCAAGAGCAGTTTTGGCAGCCTACGATTTGGGCAACTTCACCACTTTCAATTACGAGATAATGCCAAACTACGAAAAGATATTAAAGGACGACTACATACAAGTAACGCGCACTACAGAGAAACAACCACACATGAATAAACTATGAAAACTGATCAAATAAAACCAAATCGAAGCGTAAATGCCCGATTCAAGTAGATTATCAGCGGAGGAAAAACGTCTGCGGACGTCAAAGATTTGTCACGACCAGGTGAAAGAAGGACTCACCTTGGTCCGTTCGAATGGGTAAACTTGAAAAACTAAGAATTAAACTTGATAAATTAATGTAAGGACGGATGACTTTGGATAAAAAAACGACACTTATTGATATTTTTAACTTCCACTGAAAGTACAAGATGGCGACACAACGGAGTGCTCTTCGAGCGATCAATGAACTGACGTCATAAATTAAGAGCTACCAACTTTCCAAGCACCCACCAAACATTACCAACTGCCACCAGACTGCCACTGATAAGAGTTCCGGTACTTTCTAAGCTAAAGTTATTTCACGTTCACCAGCATTTTTCCATTTTTGATGACGTTAATGATGCGGTTGATGAAAAAATATATTTTTTTTTTTTTTTTTT